TGTTGTTGTCTCTGTAGTCGTCGCCTCCTACCTCTCTTCAGTGTTGTTTTCTCTTTGCAATAAAATATGTATGACTGTTCCCTTATTTATTTATGTGTAGAAATTAATTGTATCGTTCTATAAACAAGCGTAGTTCAGTGGACAATTTTTTTTCTGATTCGTGTATAATAAATAATATTGTGATTCGATCGATATTTACTACTTATTACTACTTATTATTATGATCAATCTGTCCAAGAATAAAATATATTTCTATATATATATATATATATATATATATATATATATATATATATATATATATATATATATATATATATATATATAGTAGTGTCTTCTGCTTTTCAATTTTCATATCAATCAATAATAATCTTACTCTGTTTCTCATATAGTGAAGGAGAACACAGGTGAGGGCAGCCGAATTGTATTTCGTGAAAATTACAGAGTTACTCAGTAAAATAGGAAAACCATATCGTAAACCGTTGTTAATTTGCAAATCTTCAATCCATCAGCAATCGATTGTCTGACATTTCACTCACTATTCATGCGTTTCATACAAATTCCATTGTGTTCCCACTCTTCTTCCTTTCTTGATCTTCCCCTTATCTTCTGCTGCCAGACATTACGTTGACACTGGCGTCATATACTACTTATAAGTAGCACGCACCACACTCATATTATTTATACAGTTGTTCTTGAGATTTCGCAAACGAAAAAATGGACCAATACATTAAATAAATATAAGTTTTTTTGGTTTTTGTAACCCCTCGTTGAGGGTGTTTATTGCTGGTGCTAAAAGCCATGGATAAAGGAAGAGGGTCGGTGGATGTATGTGGTTAGCAATCCCCCTTCTTGTAGAAAACTAATTGTAGGGTTCGTCACTAAGTATGCTTGAGGCTATTACGAGTTGACCTTAGTCAATAAACGCGAACGAGACAATGAACCAGCGTCCAGGTAGGCTACCTTGAATCCCCAGGCTGAAGTAAAAAAGCTTTGTAAGCGTGGAAAGTGTATTCTACAAACACCCAGCAATCACACAACACAATCAAGCATACAACTCTCGTTTATTTATATACATCATAGAAACGTCGTTGAGACAGTTACGAAAATAACACACTAAAATACACAGCAGCCAATCACAGCCATGGATTTTCATGGTGGGAATTGAAATCTCAAGGTCAGCTGATCAGCCCATGCTGGCAAACGTGAACACAGAAATTAGGCATTTATCAAGCGAATTTCGGGGATCTAACATCCCCAACACTAATTCGCAATGAGAAAAAACGCCACAAGCAGAACGAAATGATTTGAGCTATTTAAACTCCGCCCTGGTAGTTAGAAATTTCTTCATTTCGAAGAGTTATGACGTGTTTGGATGGAAGGTGAACTCTTTTGGAAGTCATAAGGTCGATGCCACAGTAGTTTAGGTATATGGAATGTTTACAAAATGTGGAAGACTGCGAGAGTCATCCAAGTTGTTGTAGAAGTGGTCGGCGGCCTATGTTTGATTTAAGGGTAACAGGAATCAAGTAAGTAATCGTAATTGAAGTTATTATAAGGTTGTGGACATCGATGAGTTTTATTTAAATCGTAAATAATGTTAGGTCATTATTAGAAACGTGGAGAAACTGGACGGCTGTCTCATTCTAGTATTGGGACTCGTCGGTAGTAGTCAAAATGGACTCGGTCGCAAGCCAGGAATTGAACCTAGAACAGTTGGTCTAAGACACGGACGTTTATAGTTTCTAGATCACTGAGTTGGTATCCAATGACATGTTATCGTCTAAGTTTAAGCAATCTACCATGTTGCGTGACCTCATCTGTTGTTTTCGCTAGGTAACTTGAACTCCACTTTATCAATATAGCTCTCTCTCTCTCATGAAGTGTTTAAATTGTGAACATTCTATCTTCTAAAATTTTGCATTAATGAACAACGTATATTGAGAATTATCAACCTCAGATTGATCGATTACTGACTACGAATAAAATGGATGCTAATGCGATCACTCTTTACAAAGTAGGATTTTTTTAAAAATCTTTCGAACTTAAATGACTAGTGGGTATTAGGACTCCGCGCATGAGTAGATGATTTATGCGATGGTATTTACAGTGAACGGTACCTGTGTCTGAGTCCTGAAGTGAAACATCAACTCCAGCGTGCTAATACATCTGTCTGTTTCATAAGGTTGAAATGCACATACTGAATTCCGTTACTAGTCACCACCCATCTCTTCTAATAATCAGTTTAGGTTGCCATACCACAACATTAGCACAGAGAGAGAGATTCAATTGTCAATTCAAATCCTATAGTGGCAATAGAGGTAGTAGAAGTATGAGCAGTAATCGGAAATATTAAGGTTTGAAGATATTGTTGAAGGAGTATAAATAATTTTTGGACACGAGAAAGAAAAAACTGATAGGGAATTTGGAAGGTTAGAAAATTTGAGAGAAGACAAAGAATGGATGCATCTGCGCTCTATTGCAAACAGTTTTGAGCCATGTTATTCAGGGTCTCTAACCCTCGATGATTGAGGCATTGAGTGTGTGTTTGGGTTGTTAAAAGCCGGTGACACCCGGTATTCCCCAACTAATCATCCATGCAAGTATTAACTTGCATATGAAATATATCAAACCAAAATCAATCACTGAAATTTGGCTTAATGTCTGATTTCATTCTATCTTCACAACCACGTAATGCAAATTACCTTTGCTCACTAGTGACTAGCTTCGTGAGGAATCTTCTCCGAGTTCCAGTGGGAAGACGTGACCAGTGAAGTTCAACCTGTTCGGGTGTAGACAGTAACTACTACCGAAGACTATGTATGAGGTTTCGCAACTCCGTGAATTTGATCAAGTTAGACAATAACACCGTTAGATGCCGGCTCAGTGGTCCGATGGTTAGGCGTTCGCCCCACAATAATACCGAAGGTCCTGGGTTCGAATCCTGCGAGGTGGTGCAGGAGTCGTGGATGCGCACTGCCTGCTGATGAGGAGGAGTCCCATGTGCCAGGACGAAATGGCCGACTTTCAGTGCTTCCAGGTTTCTAATGGTGGTCTAACATTCATTGATCGATTCATGGTTTCAAAAAATGTGTAACTTAACAATCTTCACAAATCCCCCCATGTCACATGACTATTCATTTCAACTGTGTGTGTTTTATCTTTTCTCATCATCTATTCGGTATCCATTATTGTTTATTACTGTCTGTATACATCATGATAGTGTATGATTTTGATTCACTCTAACCTTAATCATCATCATCTATAATATAGCCCAGGCGGCGTTAACTAGTACAAATTCAATGGCACCATTCATTTGTGTATTAACCAAGCATGTATATTCACCGAATTATAATTCAGTGATGAGATTCATTTCTTATGATAACAACATATTATTACCCGAGATTTGTAATTCAGTGCATAGTTCGTAAAGTGTGTAAACGCAGTTACTTACTTACTCGCTGATTTACTTCCAGCTGTTTTCCCCAACCCCCCTCCCCGAAATGGGAGGGTGGTGGGCGGAGTAATAGGCGACCGCCGACTAGTATTCTCCAAACTAAGTGATAGATAATGGGTTTTTTTAAAAGGTTTCTCAAATTTATTTACAAACATGTGAATGTACATTGTAAGATAATTAGGAGAGAGAGAGAGAGGTAGGTAGGTAGGTAGGGATAGGAACAAGGACAAAATGGAACAACAGACAGAATGTGACAGACAAACAGACAAACACACATTACCTGTATACACCGGATTTGGTGGCCATTATTTTTCGGTTATACATATCTAAATGTGTGTGTGCGTGTGTTTGTGTATGGTTCATGTTGTATTCATTGTGTATGTGTATACATTCATTTTTCCTGAGTATTATAGAGTATGCCAGATAAAGTATAGTTAGGAAAGGCTAGTAAAATATTTTTGGTTATAGAGATTGTTCGTTTATCGTTGAAATTATGAATCGATCAATGTTAGATAACAATTAAAAGTGCAAGCACTGAATGGCCACTTCGTCCTAGTTTGGGACTACTCATGAGTGTCGGTGCGCTTGCAGTTATACTTGCTAACCAAAGGATGAGTGTACTGTGCAACAGTTCGCTCTGTCCTACTTTATCACTGTGAAACATGGGCATTAAGAGTAGAGAACTTTTGTAGGTTACTAGTCTTTGATCACAGGTGTATCCGAAGCATTGTTCGTCGTGTATCGTGGGACAACCGTATAAGCAATTCTGTCGTTAACAATGAAACTTCATCAGTTGAGGTGGTTGGGACATGTGTTGTGTATGCCTAACCACCGATTGCCTCGACGATCTATGTTTTGTAGTGTAGGAGTAGGTTGGAAGAAAGCTAGGGGTGGCCAAACTAAAATATGGTAGAAATGCATGAAGTCACTGACAGGTGTACTGAGTGATGTTGGTAGATGTAGACTACCTGGTTGGGGTCCGCGAGACGAAAGTCACCTTCAATTCCCGTATATCATGCGCTTAGGCGAATCGCGTTTGTGCAACGACGGCGGCATTAAGAAGCCAAATTCAGTTTTGCAGCAGAATTTATCTCATACACTTACTCTCTGAAGTTTGTGCTTCTGACAGTGTTGTTCAGTAGAAGAACAATGAAAGCTCCACAACCAAAACACCCAGCTCAGAGAACCAACCACCACCACCACTACAATCATCCACCTGAGCTACAAATCTTCTCCACCATCTCAACATAATACTCTGCTAATGATCATAATCCCTCTACACGTAACTTTACCATTTTGAAAACTTAAACCACTGATGAAAGAGATTTCTTGACTGTTATAGTTGAAATCACAAGTCAATCTTAACTAGACCACTATGAGAAAAACGTAGAACCATTCGACAGCAGTTTCGTCCAAGTATGCAACTCATCAGTAGCAGTGTGCATCCATTAACGCCTGCAAACATGTGATTGCATACTTAGTAAAATGTTTTCTCTCTTTCTCTCTCTAATTTCTCTCTTCCCTTTGTATATTGATCTTTTAGGCACGTCGTAATTTCACTTTGAGTTTAGCTGCATACAGTGTATTTCTTTATTTGATACAAATTAAAGATCGTCATAATGGAAATATAATGATTGATAAAATTGGTCATATTATACATATAGGTAAGTGTGTGAGAGTATATGCAGAAAATGTGAAACTCTTTTGTGTTGTGTGTGTGCGCGTGACTGATCATGGTCACCACAATCATTTTTTACTGTGGTGTAGTTGTAGTGTTGTATTGTTGTATGACCTCCATGTTTTTGATGGTTGTGTTATGCCTGCACGTAAACACATCGTTTTGACATGCTTGAACTATTACGAGCGAGGATCGAGGATCCGGCGACACGACATGCTACTCAAATCCGATTACCCCAACCCCCATATTAAGTAAAAATAATAAGACTTGAATGTGAAGGAGAACCTGTATTCTATAAGCATTCAGAAGTACGAGGTCCGAATCCAGAAGAGAATCAGGATCCTGGACTAGGGATCCGGGACCGGGTCCTGGTCGTGGTCATGAAACGTTACAGATAATGCGTATTTATACATTTTGGTCGAATGAGAAACAGCATCGAAGTTTGTGACATTGACAGTTAAGACGACCAATAGGAAGTAACATTTGAAGTGAGATTGATAGTCAGAAGAGCTGAGTTTTAATCCCACCTATAGGACATCTATTTTCTCATTGATCTAAGTACAAGTTACTCTGATGTGTCTCAGCCATCTAATCTAAACGATATTATCTCACTGCTGAACCCGAGGTAGATAGAAACCCTGTTTACTTGACATCAGTAATAAGAATTTGAGAAGCAAATCTATTTACCGTTAGTAGTTTCAAGCTGTGATATACTAAACAGATAATTAAAGTTCAAACTTGTTTTATTTGTGGTATTTTACGGGTAGTTAACTGATATCTTCATCAGGCAAGAAGTAAGCTATTTCTTTCTGTTATTCTAATGAAGAGTTATGACCTAGTAAATGTTCTCACTATAAAAAATTTCATCGCTAACGGCTAAGCGTTTGATTCTTTGTCAAGGTCATCGGTGTACCACACACTACTGAGAATTCCTATTCAGTGTTGATGAAGTATATTTTTTAATTTAGTTTCGTTGTTAGTTAGACCAACAATATAAACCTCGAAACATTGGTTGGTCGTTTCTTCTTCCTAGTATGGGACACCCGAGTGAGAAACTCTGCTATTAGGAAACGGGTGCTAGGTAAGAATGGCAGATCAATAGATGATGTAATGAAACTTTATCAGTTGAGGTGGTTGGAACATGTGTTACGTATGCCTGACCACTGACTGCCTCGTCGAGCTTTGTTTTGTAGTGTAGGAGTAGGTTGGAAGAAAGTTAGGGGCGGCCAAACCAAAACATGGCAGAAATCCATGAAGTCATTGACGAGTGGACTTAGCCATGTCGGTAGTTGTCGACTACCTGGTTGGTGTCCGCGAGATGATAATAATCGATGGTTAGAGACCGTGAATGACATGGCAAAAAACCGTTTGCAATGGTGCCGGTGCATTTATTCTTTGTGTGTTCCCTCAAATCCTAATCTTCTGGATTATTCAATCCCTTTAGTTTTGACTTTCTAAACTTATCTCACTGAATCATACTTCTTGAATAATATATTCTAATCCTAACCTTTACTACCCTCCTCTACTATTGGATTTGAATTGACAATTACATCTCTGTGCTGATGTGGTATGGCGACATGAACTGATGTACATAGACGTACGAAGTTCTACGTTGCATCTGACTGACTGACTTCAATAGTGCGCATCCACTAGTCCGCTCGGAGGAATCGAACCCAGTAGACCTTCGGTCTCATACGCGTGAATGCTTAACTTCGGATTGATTAGAGTCAGCCATTCTCGCCGTTAGATGCCGGCTCAGTAGTCTACAAGTTAAACGTTTTACGCATGAAAATAAAGGTCTTGGGTGAGATTTTTCTACAAGCGGAGGTTACAGATGAGCACTGCTGACGAGTTCCTTTCTAGGTCGAAATAGACGTCCAATGCTTCCCCTTTTTCATTTCTAATAGTAATCTAACTGTAATTATTAATTATTGATTATTTATTCCTTGTTTTTGTCAACTTTTGTTTTTTTTTTCCCTCCCCTTCTCCGCAGATTTCGGTTTCATGCTAGAAAGTAGTCCTGGTGGTAATTTAGGCTGGGAAAGTGATATGAAATTAACTAAAGAAATGTTTATGATTATGGGTGGACGTATGGATAGTCCAACTTATTTATGGTTTGAACATTTATCTATACAAGCTTATCTAGCGCTGAGACCATATCAAGAATCAATTGTTGCATTAATTTCATTAATGTTAGACACTGGTTTACCATGTTTTCGTGGACAAACAATTAAATTGTTAAGACAACGTTTTGCACCACAATTAACTGATCGTGAAGCTGCCGCTTCATATCTACGTATTATACGTACATGTCTTGCACATTGGCGTGATAAATCGTATGATGTCATACAATATATGCAAAATCAAATACCTTATTGATATCAACAACTACGGTTATGTTACGTCATGCTATGGCATGTTTCATTCAATGATCAATCATTTCCTTTTCCTCCATTCTCTTCTGTTTGATCAACCCCCCCCCACCAAAAAAACTGTGCATAATGATCATTATCTCATTCTTTATCTCGTTCTTTCTTCCCTCCTTTCCTCTTTGTTCAATAGTCAATTTTTTCACTCATGTTCAATTGTCAATGTGTTTTTTTCAATTTTTTGTCAAGGTCAATCAATCATTGATAATTCAATGATCAATCATTTCCCTTTGCCTCCATTCTCTTCTGTTTGATCACCTCCCCCACCAAAAAAACTGCATGATGATCATTATCTCGTTCTTTCTTTCTTGTTCAATAGTCAATTTTTTTCACTCATGTTCAATTGTCAATGTGTGTGTTTTTTCAAGGTCATTCAATCATTCAATAATTCCTTGTTAATCTATCTGTGATGATGATCCTTGTTTTTTTTTTTGTATTTCATTGTGTATATTTTGATACATTATTCATGATGGTGCTCTGTTTAATTTTTCCTCGCTTATCGCCGTTGTTGTTGTCTCTGTAGTCGTCGCCGTTGCCTCCTCCTACCTCTATTCTGTGTTGTCTTCTCTTCGCAATCAAATATGTATGACTGTTCCCTTATTCATTTATGTGTAGAAATTAATTGTATCGTCTTACAAAATCTAAACAAACGTAGTTCAGTGGACAAATTTTTTTTTGATTCGTGTACAATAAATAATATTGTGATTCGATCGATATTTACTACTTATTACTACTTATTATTGTGATCAATCTGTTCAAGAATAAAATATATTTCTATTTATATATATTTATATATAGTAGTGTCTTCGTCTTTTCCATTTTCATATCAATCAATAATAATCTTACTCTGTTTCTCATATAGTGAAGGAGAACACAGCTGAGGGCAAGCGAATTGTATATTTAACGAAAATTACAGAGTTACTCAGTAAAATAGGAAAACCATATCGGAACCGGTTAATTTGCAAATCTTCAATCCATTGTTTGACATTTCACTTATTCATGCGTTTCATACAAATTCCATTGTGTTCTAACCCTTCCTTTCTTGATCTTTTCCCATCCTCTGCTGCCAGACATTACGTTTTTTTCACTCGCGTCTCATACTACTTATAAGTAGCGCGCACCACACTTATATTATTTATACAATTGTTCTTGAGATTTCGCAAAAAGAGACCAATACATTAAATAAATATAAGTTTCTTTTGGTTTTTGTAACCCCTCGTTGAGGGTGCTTATTGTCGATCCTAAAGGTCCTGGATAAAGGAAGAGGGTCGGTGCATGTATGCGGTTAGCAATCCCCCTTCTTGTAGAAAACTAATTGTAGGGTTCGTCACTAAGTATGCTTGAGGCTATTATGAGTTTACCTTAGTTGATAAACGCGAACGAGACTTTTATCAGCGTCCAGGTAGGCTACCTTGAATCCCCAGGCTGAAGTAAAAAGGCCTTGTAAGCGTAGAAAGTATATTGTACAAACACTTAGCAATCACAGTACAATCAAGCATACAACGCTCGTTTATTTATATACATCATAGAAACGTCCTTGAGACAGTTACGAAAATAAAACACTAAAATACACAGCAGCCAATCACACAGCCATGGATTTTCCTGGTGGGAATTGAAATCTCAATCAAGGTCAACTGATCAGCCCATGCTGGCAAACGTGAAAACCAAAGTAAGGCATTTATCAAGCGATTTCTTGGGATCTAACATCCCCAACAGAACTATTAAAACTCCGCCCTGGTAGTTAGAAATCTCTTCATTTAGAAGAGTTATGACGTGTTTGGATGGAAGCTGAGTTATTTTGAAAGTCATAAGGTCGATGCCACAGTAGTTTAGGTATATGGAATGTTTACAAAATGTGGAAGACTGCGAGAGTCATCCAAGTTGTTGTAAAAGTGGTCGGCGGCCTATGCTTCATTTAGGTGTAACAGGAATAAGTAAATGAAGTTATCACAAGGTTGTGGACATTGTCGGGTTTCATTTAAATCATAAATAATGTTAGATCATTATTAGAAACGTGGAAGAACTGGACGGCTGTCTCGTTCTAGTATTGAGACTCGTCGGCAGTAGTCAACCTGGACTCCGCCGCAAGCTAGGAATTGAACCTAGAACAGTTGGTCTGAGACACGGACGTTTATAGTTTCTAGACCACTGAGTTGGTATCCATTGGCATGTTATCGTTTAAGTTTAAGCAGTCCACCATATTGCGTGACCTCATCTGTTGTTTTCGCTAGGTAACTTGACTCCAGTTTATCAATATAGCTCTCTCTCTCTCTTATGAAGCGTTTGAATTGTGAACATTCTATCTTCTAAAATTTTGCATTAATGGACAACGTATATTGAGAATTATCAACCTCAGATTGATCGACTACTGACGACGAGTAAAATGGATGCTAATGCAATCACTCTTTACAAAGTAGGATTTTTTTAAAAATCTTTCGAACTTAAATGACTAGTGGGTATTAGGACTCCGCGCATGAGTAGATGATTTATGCGATGGTATTTACAGTGAACGGTACCTGTGTCTGAATTCTGAAATGAAACATCAACTCAAGCGTGCTGGTACATCTGTCTGTCTCATAAGGTTGAAATGCACATATTGAATTGCGTTACTAGTCACCATCCATCTCTTCTAATAATCAGTTTAGGTTGCCATACCACAACATTAGCACAGAGAGAGAGAGATTCACTTGTCAATTCAAATCCCATAGTAGTAGAGGTAATAGAAGTATGAGTAGTAATCGGAAATATTAGGGTTTGAAGATATTGTTGAAGGAGTATAAATAATTTTTGAGACAAGAAAGACAAAACTGATAGGGAATTTGGAAGGTTAGAGAATTCGATAGAAGACAAAGAATGGATACATCTACGCTATGGCAAACAATTTTGAGCCATGTTGTTCAAGGTCTCTAACCCTCGATGATTGAGGCATTGAGTGTGTGTCTGTGTTATTAAAAGCCGGTGACACACGGTATTCCCCAACTAATCATCCATGCAAGTATTAACTTGCATATGAAATACATCAAACCTAATTAATCACTGAAATTCGGCTTAATGTCTGACTTCAATCTATCTGCATTACGGGGTTATGAAGATTATTAGGTTACACATTTTTGATACCATGAATCGATTCATGGTTTCAAAAAATGTGTAACCTAATAATCTTCACAACCCCGTAATGCAAATTACCTGTACTCACTAGTGACTAGCTTCGTGAGGAATCTTCTCCGAGTTCTAATGGGAAGACGTAACCAGTGAAGTTTAACCTGTTCGAGTGTAGACAGTAACTACGACAGACTGTGTATGAGGTTGTGCGACTCCGTGAATTTGATCAAGTTAGACATTAACACCGTTAGATACCGGCTCAGTGGTCCGATGGTAAGGCGTTCGCCTACAATACCGAATGTCCCGGGTTCGTATCCTGGGAGTGCAGGACCTTTGGTCTTCTCACATACGGATTCTTAGCTTCAAGATCACTAAGCCTATATAGAATGGTGTTATTATATGACTTCAATCTATCTACCTACACCTAACAGAGTTGAACTCCGTTGATCACGTCTTCTCTTCAAAACCCGAGACTTTCTTCATAAAGCTAGTCGCTACTCAGTGAGTACATTGTATACTAATCATTTTTACAGTCATGGAGATTTTTGTTGATTGATTGAAATCAAATTAAAAGATCAACTTTAAAAAACCAACCTCATTCATTCATTATTAACATTGAACCTTTTCAATTTCAAGAAAACATCTTATTATTAATATTATTACTATCATTCGTTATTGAACATTGAATGAACTAAAAATTTGTTTAAACACATCTCTTTTTTTGATAAATAAATTGACAAAAAACGCGCGCAATTTAATTTTTTTTGTTTTTTTTCGATTATCGATGATTGCACATAACATCATCATCTTATAACTAACTCTGTGTTTATTTGTAAATCAAACATGTATAATAGATGTGATAATTGAACTGATTGGTGGGTATGTTGTGAATGGAGGATATATCATACCAAACACACAAGTCCAATGATGAAAATGTTCATAATTTTATGTAGAAAGAAACGATAAAAGACAAATGAAAAACAGAAGGAAAAAACAGAAAACAAGACAAGAACACAGAAAATTTTTATTCCAACTTTATAGAAAGAAACAGAACAATACAATACAATACAATACAGTACAGTATATCTATTTATCTATCTATCTGTCTGTCGGTTATAATAACCATAATCATAATCATAATCACGCTTCATAATCATCATCTTAATCAATAGGTGCGTTGATCTAATAATCCGTCTACATTGTTCTTATGATGTGCATACATTAGTGATCTTTTACCCATACGCATATTGCGAAGACCACGTTTATTCTGATGTTGATAAGCTGATAATTGTTTTGCATAATTCATTGGATAATTATTATTATTATTGTCATAATAATCATAATCATTAGAATATTTTTGCCATAAATCAGTATCATCTACTAATTCTGTATGACGACCAAATGTAGTAGTAGTTTGTAAATGAATAGCTGTAATAAGAAGAAAAATAAAACAGCATTCAGTTGTTTATTCATTGTATATCTTCTGATAGGTTTAATGACTAATATTACTTACTTACTTACTTACTTACTTACGCCTGTTACCGCCCCAACGGAGTATAGGCCGCTAACGAGTTTTATCCAACCAACTCTGTCTGTCTTGAGCTTCCCTTTCTCATTTCTGTCCAAATTTTATTCAATCTTATCATATCTTTCTCTATTTCTCGGTGTAATGTGTTCATTGGCCTTCCACTTTTCATTTTGCCTTGAGGAGTCACAAGTGGGGGCTTGTCTCGTGACGCAGTTAGGTGCCTTTCGTAGTGCGTGTCCTATCCACTTCCACCACTTCTTCCTGATTTCCTCATCCACTGGAATCTGGTTTGTTCTCTCCCACAGTTCGTTGTTGCTGATGGTGTCTGGCCAATGAATCCGAAGTATTTTGTGGAGACAACTGTTAATAAATACTTGTATCTTCTGGATAATGGTTTTGGTAGTTCTCCAAGTTTCTGCTTCATACAGTAGAACTGTCTAGACATTTGTATTGAAAATCGTGATTTTGGTTTTGGTTGAAAGTTGTTTGAAGTTCCAGATATTTTTTAACTGTAGAAATGAAGCCCTTGCTTTGCCAATCTGTGCCCTCATATCTGCATCGGATCCACCTTTCTCGTTGACGATGCTGCCAAGATATGTAAAGGTGTTAACGTCCTCCAAGGTATCTCCATCAAGATTGATTTGGTTGGTGCATGTTGTGTTGCATCGGAGGATTTCGCATTTTCCCTTTATGTATGTTGAGACCTGCTACTACACTGGTCATCTTCTCTTACATTTGTTGTTGCGTTTGCGATATTAATCGGTGTAATGCTGATAATTTTCGCCGGGTTACTTGAAAGTATTAACTTCTCCGACTGATGAATAATTTAAGGTTCGATTAGAAATTTATTTTTTCAAGTAGAGTTATGAAGATCATTCAATGTTTTTACACGTTGAAATCAATCAATCATTGTTAGATTACCATTAGAAATCTGGAAGCGTAATCGCGCAAAATCCTTAGATTGATCAAAGTTAGATATGAACACTGTTAGATGTCAGTTCAGTGATCTAGAGGTTAGATGTTCGAGGGCAAGACCGCATATCCTGAGTTCGAATCCTATAAGGTGTAGGTATCGTGAATTCACTCTACTGATGACTCCTCCTATACCAGGACGGAACGGTCTTTCAGTGCTTCCATGTTTCGAATTGCGGTCTTACAATGGTTATTTGATGATTTCAACGATTAGAAGAAAGATGTTTCCTTTTTTAAAATAATCGATTTCAACACTATCAGATACAGAGAAGTCAAGGATAAGTTATCACTGTCTGTGACATCGTTCGAATTATAGACTAAGTACTTTATAGTTGATAAGCATTTATATTTCTGAGCATAGGTGAACATTGAAGGAATATTTGATTTTAATTATTAGCTGGCAGAACTCTGCCTGTCATTGTTCTGGAATTACTACCAGCTCAAAAGGAGGAGGTTTGGTCATGATGGAATTAGTAACCCTATCCAACTAGTTAAAAAAAACTAGCTGAAGAGTTTCGTTTATGTGAACACCAATTAGCAGTCAAACGCCACGACATTTCTTTGCTTATATTAATACATATGGACAATGATGGACATACGTTCGATTGGAACAATGTGTAAACACTAGATGGGGAGAGCATCAAGAACACTAAAGAATTTTTACAAGTTTGGCACTCAGGTCAATCCGCCATCAACAAACACATTGACATTGACCCGATTTATCAAATAATTAGGTGAATCATAGACAAACATAGTATCAGGAAACAGATCAAAAGGGGGATACAATCAAAACAAAGGTGCGATGAACGACAGATTTAAGTTCAATAACAACCAATCAAGATCGAGAACAAGCTATGGGCTAAACGTGAAGAAATTCGAATACTTCACTTCTTCTACATTTGAAGTTTGTCATGCTGACGATGTTGTTCAGAAGAACAATGAAAGCTTACCAACCAAAACATCCAGCTCAGAGGACGAAACACCACCACAATCTGCAGTGGTTAAAGATAACAGAAGAATGGCAAATCAGCTGATGAACTAATGAATCTAACGTGGTTGGGAAATGTGCTGTGATGTGGGGATAGGCTGGAATAAAGTTAGGGTCCACCAGTCCAAAACATCGCATAAATCCATGTAGTCACTGACAACTGGATTGAGCTGTGTTAGTAAGTAAAGACTACTTGGTTGGTGTCTGCGAGACAATAGTAACCGACAGTTAGACACCCTAAATAACATGGCTCAAAAGTGTTTGAAATGGTGCAGTTGCAACCATACTCTTTGACTTCTCTCATGACCTCATTAGCTCATCACCTTTTCTCCTCATCTCATCTTAAATTTACTTCGCTGGATTGTACTTCTCGAATCATTACTTCGATTCATAAATCTTTTCGACTAACGCTAATATTTCTACTATTATGAGACTTAAAGTGACCACTGCGACTCTGTGCTAATTTGGTTTGGAATATTGAACTGATGTACCATGTAAGTAAGTAAGTAAGTAAGTAAGTAAGTAAGTAAGTGCATAAGTAAGTAAGTGCATAAGTAATTAAGTAAGTAAGTAAGTAAGTAAGTAAGTGCATAAGTAATTAAGTAAGTAAGTAAGTACCAACCTTCTACATTGTAATTCACTGACTAACTGATTCACTTCTACAAATTACTTTCATTCTGCACTGACAACAAACAATCACAAAAATAAACATCTTGTTTCACATTTATTGATTCAATGTTCTTCTTGTAAATTTTTGTTTTAAATCATAAACTAATTCATTTAAACAAAATAGTAGTAAACATTGTATATTCTATGGGGGTTTTATTCTTTTCTAAGGTAAAATTTATCATCAACAAGATTAATTTCATAAAATCTCTTTGTTTATTCATATTTATCAATATCAATCAATCAATCAGTGAACAAATTCAATCTTTAATTGTTTTGTTTATTCAAATTCAAATTTTTGGCGCGCGCATTTCTACTACTACATAAACAACAATATCAAAAACCCTTTTTTGGTATATAGAAGATATCTTGTTTCTTCAATAACTAACTACTGTCTCTCTCTCTCGCTCGCTCACTGTGTGTTGTAACCAATATGTCGAATTAACAAGAGAAATCGAGGGAAAAAAAAGTGATGCGTTAATCTGATATGATGTGTTGTGTTTTTACTTATCAATGAAGCCTTTGCATACTACTTAATAAATAATAGCATACATTTACGTATATACAGCAGATTTATGAAAGAATGTAGAATAAATAAATAAGCTTTCACAAATTATTTATTATCTGATAACAAAATGATTATTATTGATGAACACACATACTGGCAATAATTATATTAAGCAATGAAGTTGAGAAAATATTTTCCTTCACAAACAACCCTAATTGTGTTTTTGTATTTCATATTCAAAATGAGAGGAGAGATCAGTAGATCATTTCAATGGTGTGGATTAAATTTCACGCAGAAAGACAATAGAGAGAAGAAAGGTGAGAGAAGTTGAAAGCTTAATTTTTTGTGACTTTGATGAAGCTTAAAGAATATAAAAATCATTAGATTCCGATGAGTAAGAATCATAGCGTGAAATCGTTGAATAGATAGATACCATGATTCGAATTAAAGCTGCACTACTACTATATAACAAATGTTCTTACATTTGAACATAAGAAATAACTCATAAACCATAAGGTTGTGGAGATTGTTGAGTCGATTTATTGAAATCATGAATGAGTCATTTTGTTAGACCACCATGAGAAAATTGATATCACTAGATGGTTGTGTCATCTTGGTATGGGACTTATCAGTGGCAGTATGCATCCACGACCCTCACTACTCACAGGTATTGAACCCAGAACCTTTAGTCTTGCGTGTGTGTGTGGACACTTAACCTCTAGACCACTGAGTTGGCCAGCACCTAACAGTGTTAATGTCACCATTTGAAGATTGCTAGTTATTGCACAACCTCAACAACATCTGTAGTGAAGGAGAACACAGGTGAAGGCAACCGAATTGTTTGTATTAACGAAAATTACAGAGTTACTCAGTGAAATCGGAAAACCATATCGTAAATCGTTCATTTGCAAAATATCAGTTCATCATATCGAACTGGACTGTTCCTGCTGCAAAACATCAATCCATTGTCACTACTATTCATGCGTTTCATACAAATTCCATTGTGTTCCCACTCTTCCTTTCTTGATCTCACCTCATCTTCTGCTACCAGACATTACGTTTACTCTCAAGTCATATACTACTTATAAGTAGAGCGCACCACATATCTACAATCCTACAGTGAAAATTTTGATATGCTCACTTCCTGACTAACTCCGTGAGGAAGCGTCTTCGAATTCTAATGAGAAGTTGTGACCAGTGGAGTTTGACCCTGTTCTAGTGTGAAGCAGTGTTCACCGAAGACAGTGGATGAACTGCTAGTGAACTGAACTACTGCTGAGTTCCATAGCATAATGAAACATCTGTTCAGTGTTTCCAACTTGCTTTCTAATAGTGTTCTAACAATTTATCGATTCACGATTTCAATAATACATGTGTAACAATGAAAATAATCACGTACTTAAGTTCACATGATTGCAAAAGACAAGACATAATATATCAGACAAAATTGGGATCGGTCAATGATCAGTGTTATGTTTATTGAATTATTAAGACTGGTTGATTGGAATCAGTCTACCAGTCAAAATGTGTAGTGTGACAACCACCAGTCTAAATGATTCAACATCCTTAGATCGATCAGAGTTACACATTAACAGCTCAGTGGTTTAGAGGTTAGGCGCTTGTGCGTAAAACCGAAGGTCATGGAGGTTAGAATGTCGCATTATGTAACAGAATATTTTCTTATCTGAAATTAAAACAATTAGTCCCTTTTATAAATTTTGAGAGAACAGTGAGAAACACGTAACTGATCTGAAAAATGTTGTGAT